TGACTACGTTGTACTATGTTTGCAGCAGAATGTAGCAAGAATGCTTCTTTTGCATCTATACATTGTTGTCTGTAGCTGGGAGTATCCTTCAGCATGACATAAAAATAAAATGATGGAAATATTCTAGCAATCATGAGAGTTAAAATGTGTATCTCTTGAACTTTGCAGATTTGAAACCTGCCGATGATGATATTTTTATTCTATGAAATTAAACCCTGATATTTACTTATGGATAGTTTTCTTCAAACCCTATCATAAATGCTCTTTTCCATATCATTACCGCAATAGATTCAAAATATGTTTCAATCAAAGCCTACAGGTTTGCAATCAGTCCTAGTTCAGGAGTTATAAAAGTCAAGATCTGATTTTCCTGGACTGAGCAGGTCAAAAACATGTATCACTTAGCATATTTCAAGCATGCACAGCCCAAGAGAAACAGACTTTAATTCTGTTGTAATAACCACTTGGCCAAGACTGGTTATAATGAGTTTTTGAGACAATCATCCATGAGCAAATGTTTGAGGTATATTTCAATAAACAACAAAAAATGCAACTATATAGGTTTCAAACCTGCTTAGTCCAGGATAATCAGATTTTGAATCTATTATGGCAATAACATGGCTAAAAACATTTAAGATGAGGTTTTGACAAGACTCTTCACAAGGAAATGTCAAAGTGTGATTTCATAGGATAAAAATATCATTGTCAGCAGGTTTCAAACCTGCACAGTTCAAAGAGAAACAAATTTTGACTCTAGCAATCACTTGGGAATTCAATCTTTGATAGGTTTTGAACCCACAGAGACAGATTTAGATTCTGTTGTATCAACTGCTTGGCTAAGACCAGTGAGATGCACTTCCAATGAACTCAATCAGAAGTGAACCCTCAAGGCACATTTATCTGCATTTGACCACCACACAAAATGGTGGGATGCAATGACTCATGAGCTCACATTCAAGGCAAGTTTTAATAGCAAAAGAAAAAACCATGTTATTATACAGGTTTTAAGCCTGCTCAATTTAAGAGCAATAGATATAGAAAATGACCATGGGCAAATTATCCAAAGCATGTTTCAGAATCAATAAAAAGTTTATCATCGAATGGGTTTTGAACCTGCAGACAGCAGAAGAAACAGATTTTGATTCTGTGATAGCAATGATATGACTAAGATCATCTGTTATCACCTTTTAAGAACACCATCCACAAGCAAATATCAAGATGTGTTTTTATGAAAGAAAAATGACACCATTGTTGGCAGGTTTCAAACATGCACAGTCCAATGGAAACAGATTTTGACTCTGTTGACCACTTGACTAAGGCCAATAAAGATCTACGCCTAAGAAAATATTTACGAGGGAATATTAAAGACATGTTTCAACAGCAAAACTATGACATCAAACAGGTTTCAAACCTGCACATTTCAACAGAAACAGATTTTGATTCTGTCATGAGAACTACTGAGCTAAATTTCATTTAGATAGGCTTTTGAGGAAACCGTCCATAAGCAAATGCTGGGGCATGTTTTCATAGAAAACAAATGTTGCAATTAGCAGGTTATAAATCTGCACGATGTGATAGAAACAGATTTGACTCTGGTGATAACTTGGCCAAAGCTATTAAAGATAAGTCTTTGAAACATTGTCTATAAGGAAACCTTCAAGATGTATTTCAAAGAGGAAGAAATATTGGCTGATTTTGATGCAGTAACTATGAGTTCAAAAGAAGCAGCTAATACTCAGAGAGATTTAGGATTGACAAAGACAGACCTTCAGAGTGTATAGAGTTCAAAAAGTGCACAGGCCAGAGTCATGGCAATGACATGGCTAAGATCATTTAAGATGAGTTTCTCAGAAAACCAGGTGTATTATTATAGAAAATAATAATTTATCATTGACAGGTTGCAAACCTGCACAATCTAAGAGAAACAGATTTTGACTCTGGTAATCACTTGACAATTTCATCTTTAGCAGGTTTTGAACCCACACAGACTGATTTATATTCTGTTTGATTGACTGCTTGGCTAAGACCAGTTGAATACACTTGCAATGACCCTAATCAAAAATGAATCCACAAGGAAGTTCTTTCAATAGTATGGTTGCCATGATTGATTCTTTTATTTTACTCTTATTGCAAAAGACATCAGACTTCTTCTGGGGCTCTTGACTTCAAGACCTGTTTATCTAGCAATTGCTCTGAAAAAGTGCTGATGACAGACCATCATGGTGGGCCAATGATGTTTGTAATGTCTTAGAATATTAACAGCTGGGTCATGAGTGACAACTGACATTGGAAGGATCACATATGATTGGACTCAAGTGGGATGTTGGAAATTAATATTAGAACTGACAAAATGCAGATAAATATACCTTGAGGATTCACTTCTGAATGAGTTCATGGAAAGTGCATCTCACTGGTCTTAGCCAAGCAGTTGATACAACAGAATCCAAACCTGTCCCTGTAGGTTGAAAACCTGCTGAAGATGAAATTGCGAGTGATTATAAGAGTCAAAATCTGTTTCTCTTGGATTGCGCAGGTTTGAAATCCACTAATGATATCATTTTTATTTTATGAAATCACATCACCAGTGAGATGGTGCTCTCAGGAAAGTATACATGAGTCCATTTTGAGGTGTGTTCTAACAGGAAAAAAAAACATATAGATCAGTGTCTGAGATGCTGTCTATAAGCAAATATCATGTTCTAACAGAAAAAATGTGACATTCAACAAGTTTGAAACCTGTTGCATTTGAATGGAAACAGATTTTGATTGTGTTATGACAACCACTTATCTAAACACAACTCTGATGAGGTTTTAAGCAAACCGACCATGAGCATATATCAAGGCGCATTTTTATAGAAAATGAAAATTATATTTGGCAGGTTTTAAACCTGCACAATCCAAGAGAAACAGATTTTGACTCTGGCAATCACTTGGCTATTTAATATTTGATAGGTTTTGAACCCACACAGACAGATTTAGATTCTGTTGTATCAACTGCTTGGCTAAGACCAGTGAGATGCACTTCTAATGAACTCATTCAGAAGTGAACCCTCAAGGTAGGTTTGAAACCTATTGAGTGACACATTTTTTGTATTAGAACATGTCTTGGATATCTGCTCATATACAGCATTTCAAATGTTGATCTTCATTGGTCTTAGTCAAGTTGTCACCAGAGTCAAAATCTGTTTCTCCTGAACTGTGCAGGTTTGAAACCTGCCAACAATAATATTTTTATTTTTATTCTATGAAATCACACCTTCACATTTCCACATGAATCTTAAAATAAATTGGAAGGCCTTGATTTCCTGGTGGCATCATGACTTTCTTAGAAGAGAAACCAAAAAAAAATATTCAAAAGCTGGTGTATGGAACCATGTTTCACTGCTAGCCTTGCAGCAGCTTGTTTTATGATCCATGCCAACTGTTGAACATTGTCCGAGTCACTCTCTATCATATCCAACTCAATATGCATCAAACCTGAAAATATCAAACATCACACATCACACACACTCATGCTACTCATGTCTCATCTCGTCCTACTAGTCCTGCTAGGTGCACAGTTTATTATTTCTCACATTACTCACATCATAGACGGTGTTATTACATGTTTTCCCATAGTCTGCAGCACCTCTTGTATTATTACATAGAACATTGGACCTAATATTGTGCTACAACTTTTGCCTACATACTTCTGTATTTCTATGTAGATAGATAAGTAGTTGGACTTACTCCAGTATCACCACAATTCCAGTAGAGGTGAGCACCTATCTGATACTTAGACTCATGACTTATATTGGTTTGACCAATGAAGATCAAAGTCTGAGAAACTATCTATGAGCAAATATTCAATCAAGCATGTTGCAATATGAAAAAAAAAAGTGTCATCTTGTGTCATCTGACAGGTCTCAAACCTGCAGACTTTGATGAGAACACATTTTGAATCTGTCGTAGCAATGATGTAGCTAAGACCATTTTTAAATGAGTTTTTGAGGAAACTATTCATGAGGAAATGTTAAGATGTGATTTCATAGAAAGAAAATGTTATTATTGGCAGATCTCAGATCTGCATGGTGCAAGAGAACATCAGGAAAAACCTTCCCTGAGAATTACACATATATTTACAACATTATGTTGTTTTACTCAACTTTACTCAGTTTTTTCAGTTATTATTATGGAAAACTACATTATCACGAAAATTATGTGTGTCCTATCCTACATTGAAGTACATTGAAGTAAGTGTATATACAACCCAGAGCGTGGATCCAGTAAAGGACTGAAGGCCGAAAACCATTTGACATAGGCAATATGCTGTGGTGGAGGGTTCTGAGAATTTTGAAATACCATTTCAACACTGTTTGCAGTTGGTTTGCGGCAAAGTGAAGACTGCGCGAACCTGCATGACACGTAAATCTAATGATTCTTTTATATCAGCGGAGGATCCAGTGGACTCAAAAAGTCTCACCTTGTGTAGACATGGCTCAGAGTGTGTATGGAGTTGAGTGTTTCAGTCACATGTATCTCATCATTCCAGAACTTGACTTGGTGGGAGATGGGCACAGAGTTGCAAGGCAAATGAATGTTCACAAAAATTTGAAAATCGAACGACTAATGATTACTAATCCTCAAGCTCCCTTGTTAAATTGTGAGGTCCCATGTGTCAATGAGTCACATGACGGTTGGCTTTCAAACTTCGCCAAGTTTCACTGTCGTTCACTGACTGATTCCCACCTTTACTTCTTTCCACACTTCTATGATATCATCTATGTCTGCTTCTCTCTGGCAGCACTCAACAATCTTCTGGTGGATTTCAATTTTTTTCATGTCATGCTAATGTTTTCATTCATTATCTTGTTAAGCCTCTGGCTTCAGCACTCTGTTCATTTCCATGAACCGTTCTCTCCTGCAACCGTCCTCGTAGGTCTGCTTTTCTTTTGTATATGCAGTTCAACTATCACAAGTGTATGATCAACGAGTTTGGCGAGCATAACAGGACTGCACTCATGCAGATCATATTCTTCCGAGACGGGCTCTCTGATGGCAGATATGCCATCATGGGCAAAGAAGAAATTGAGGACATCACAGGTGAGTTAGTCCAGCAACGGCCATTTCCTTTCCTAAAAGTGTCTACTAGGGGCGATTGACGATATCTGGCAGAACAAGAACTTGAAAACCGGAATTAAAACTAACTTTCTCATAGTTGTCAGTAAATGGCAAGTCTTCAATCCTTTCTATCCCTGTGCTTCTCTCATCATCTACCACATTTTGTCAAGACACCATGTCCGATTCTTCTCATTTGTGTGTTTCAGACTACACACCGCATTCACCTCTGTCACACTCAATTTAAGTGTTGCTACCACGGTTTGCGTTTTGTTGTTTGTTGCTGCCTCAGCTCATGGTGTGCCGTCTTAGGTTGAGTCCAATATAATGGTGGCAAGAATAGCAAGTTCAATATGGAGCCTGTCTGACTTTCGAAAGAGCAGATTATTGCACGCGTTGACTGGGCAAACATGGGTGGCGAGTCTGATTAGTATTTTTTGCGCTATTTCTTTCAATGCATGCTGGCGCTACTAGTCTTGTCAAGTAAAATCTCCTGCTCATTAGTCATTATGTAACATATCGTATGTCGAGTCTCAATGACAATATAATGTTTACTGCATTTTCATTGATATTACTTGAAGATAATATGGAACAAAGACTCCCTAATACTGCACACTTTATTGCATTTTATTGCATTTTATGCCACTTTATTGCAATGAAGGCGTCGGGGGCTGTTGATTAGTTCATAAATATCACTAATGTGAAACATGACGATAAAACCCAATAAAACACCATTATTCACGCAAATTTGCCGTAATTCCTGGGGGAAGGTTTTCCCTGATGAAACAGATTTTGACTCTAGTGACAACTCAACTAAGACTGATAAAGATCAGTGTCTGAGAGACTGTCTATGATTCAATATTCAAGGCATGTTCTAATAGAAAAAATGCAGCATTCAATGTGTTTCAGACTGTCAAGGTGCAAACAGATTTTGACTCTGATAATCACTTAATAATTTCATCTTTAGCAGGTTTTGAACCCACACAGACAGCTTTAGACTCTGTCATATCAACTGCTTGGCTAAGACCAATTAGATTCACTTTCAATGAACCCATTCAAAAGTGAGTACTCAAGGTACATTTATCTGCATTTTACCAGCTCTTTCAATAGCATGGTTGGTGTTGATTTTTTATCCTGCTCTTATTGCAAAAGACACAAACATGCAAACTTCACCTGGGTTGCCCAGTAAGTAAGGCTTACAATACTGGGCAACTAAGCACGTTGCCTAGGCTTACAATGGTTAATTACATTCAATCCCAGCACCAGCATTAAACCTTGCCTCAAATACTACATAATACCTTAGGCATAAGTACTGCTAGAGGCATATATTGACACCAGCATTAAATGCTGCCCCAAATAATGATATTTTTGTAAGTCTATTTTGGTAATACCAGAATATTCCTGTCCTCGACATTAATGCCAACATTGAGCTCTCTTTCCCGTGCATCCTCCTCTTTGACATTGACATCCAGCTCCTCAACATCAAACTTCCTATTTTACGGATCCTGTCCCTCAATTTTGAAGGTTGCCAACATCAAGGTAGAGTTCCCTTTCCTCTGCATATCATCCTCAACGTTGATGTTGAGCTTACCAAAGTCAAGCTCTCTTGCCTGCTTACTCCCTGTATGCATTCATGCTCCATTGGCTCGTCAATTCTCCCAACACCCAACCACCTGCACTGTCTAAGCATCCACTCTACACTACACAGGCCACCTCATGTCCCTTCACACATTCACTTACTCTTAACTCATCAATTCTCCCCAACACCCATCTCCACATGCCTTTCAATATGGCCTCCCGTGGCACCTCTTCAAAGAAGATTCCAGGACTGTTGCATGCTGCCATCAAACATCACTATCATGGCTCAACCTGGTGGTCTGGAATATTGACGGCAGATAAATAAAGCCAGCACAAGGAGGAGGCAACTATGAAAAGACAGGCAATTGCAAGGTAGGTTTTTTTAAACAATATTTCTATTTGACTCATTTAGAACACAGAAATGTCGACTGAGGATCGGAATGCAGTTGCAACAATGATATCTGACATTGGTATTGATTTCGACATCAACCTTCCAGCACTGCCAGGGGAAGAAGGAATAGATCTCAGTCATGAGGGTGGGGAGTATGAGGCTTTCACTGGTCTATCACATCAAATCACATCACTATCAGGATGGTATATACCTGTGTTTCATGCAGCTCTCACTCATTGGTTTCTTTTAGTTGCTATGTGGACCCTTGTACCCATCATGATCGCATTGAGATCCAGACTGGGAATTGTAACAGTCAACTTGACATCCTCATTGATGCATATTTGGATCATCATGCTCGGGATAAAGGCAATGGCATGCCGAGTCTGCTGACTGGCGTAATGCTTAATGGACATGATTGTCTCTTCCTTGCTGACATTGAACTAGTGGATATATGTAGTACATTGCTGCTAATTTTGTTAATCTGTTTCTCAAATTATATATATTATCAATAGGTCAACATAGAATGACATTATGACCACGACCATCACATGTATATCCAACTGAAACACTAATTCATTATGGATATCTAGGCTGCTCCCCTCTGTACCCATCAGTTGCTATCTCCCTGCTCACTCTGGCTGCATATCGCCAGTCTCACCAAACCTGTCCACAATTTAGTATCCAAGCCCAATGCAAGACACTCTGCCACCTTCATAATGTAAGCACTCTCATTGTGATTAATTCCAGTAGTCTTATTCTGCCCACAAATGCCTTATTGCATGTGTTCTCAGCCTCAAACAAACTTGCATGGAGTACTAGACATGCAACTGTATTCCACCATCACCAGACTATTGAGGAACATTTTGCATTCTGGGATGTGGATAAATATGTGTCATTAAGTATGGTTTTCCCTCTGAGCTGAACAGTAACTAATTTCTATGTTTTAAGGCAATTTCTTATGGAATCATTACTGAAAAGTTCAATCCATACCCTTATGGCTGAACTTTCAGCATTGAAGGTCAATCTTGGCTTGACTGATGCCAACTTTATTCAGTTTCACTCTGAAGAACAATTATATCTGGACAACCTGAAGGCTCTGCCTCCAAAAGAACTCCTTCAGATACACTGTAGATGAGGAATCTTGACTATAGGTGAAAACACTTAAAACTAATGAGTGCTCTACAGCAAGACCAGGATACGAGACAACGACTCGACCCAAAGGACAACCACTGAGAGAAGTTCCTCGGAATTAAGATGGAGGGAAACTCTATGAGCTAGGCGGGCACTGGCAGGTGCGAGAAGGTAACACACATGTAAGCAAGGCAAAGGCACACAAGGTGTGCGCGTGAGCGGGAGGTTCGAGTATGTGCACGCATGAAGTGAAGGCGCGTTCAGGGTGTTAAGGAATAAAGATCCTTAATGAAGAGTTGATACACAGATGGTAGTTGATAGGAGAATCTGATCTGATTTCAAGTGAGGAGGTGAACTATACACTTTTCAGTATCCTGAGATAAGGGAAAAGTAAGTACCAGAACCAAGAGAATCTCCTCTGTATTTAAGAAGGGAGATTACTCTATGCGGCGCACTTCCAAGTGCGCTCCCGAACCGAGTAACCATATCAACTCTAAATATAACTAAGTTTAAACAGACTTTCTATATGTAAACACGGACACCAGACTGAAGATTTTGTTAGTTCAATGAAAGAGATAAGAATAACACACCAGCGAATCAGCAAGGACATGGGACGAATGGACGGACGGTAGCGCAAAGACCTAGGAGGAAGCGCGCATGGTGCGAGTGCAGGTAAGGCGCATGTGTGTGCGCACGAGATCGGCATTGAGACATGCAAGTCTCTACAATGCTATGTTGAAGTTCTTGATGAATTGGCAGAGCGAAGATGAATATTATCATTTTCATTAATTTTTTTCCCACTCAAATACCAAACCAAGTTCCAGGTGGGGATTAGCCCGAGAAGCCAGCAATCAGGCATTAACAAGTATTCTAGCAGGGGACCTTCACCAAATTTTGGCTGCCCTTTCCCAGGCCAGAATTTCTGTTGACTCTGCATACACCAAACTACAGAATGCAGAAGGACTTACTGCTTATGTGGAGATGCAACTTCAAGTCAAAGAATGGTGGACAATAGGGGACAATAACTACAATACATACAAGCAAGAAACTTCCCTGCACCGATATTGTGTTGCATTAGATGATCTCAAGTGTTTAGTTGTCATGTGTCTGTTCGAATTTTGAAGCTTTCGCATTCAGGCACAGGTATGGACTTAATTGATTACTATTTCTTCTCAATTTTGATACTTGCAAGGATACAAAATCTGTCAGAAAATTGGAAAGGCATTGCAATGACGCTCTGAAGCAATTCAAAATGCTCTCAGCTGTTACAATGTACAGGCAGCTGCACTGGATCCCTCACATCTGTCTTTGTCTTGGAAAGACATCACAGAATACAGCTTCCTGGGCGAGTTTGATTTACTCTGCTAATCTCATACTGACATTCGTGAGCTTGACTGGGCAAAGCCTGCTCATCGAGAGGTGACTGTCAAATATTTTAAGCTTCATCATGTGCACGAGGAGATCGAGTGTCTTGATGTGGAGGTTCGACACCTTCGCACATCAATTCACAATGAGGAGCTGAAAACAACCACTGTCATTAATGAGCTTTCTGTCTCCGACCCCCTGCTAAGTCTTGAGCTACAAAGGCAATGGAGATTACAGGCTGGTGTCAATGTCATGCATGCCTTCTGGTTAGATCAAATTGAGCTCCAACCAGGTTTTTCAGGTAATCAAGGTATTGGCATTAAGATTGGGGCCAGCGAGCCACATCCTGCTTCAGAGAGACCTAGAAGTTGCTTGGACAGTATGTACTTTATGCTTTCTTCATAATTTTACATGAACTAAGCTACCACTTACACAAACGCTGAAGCAGCTCGTGATATAATCTTGTCTGAGTATGTTGACGAGGATGTGCTGGAGCACAAGGAACAGCTACAAGTCACACAGGATATGGCTGATTATATAGTGTCTATTGTTGATTGACAACTTTCATATACTTTTATACTACAGAATATCTAATGCCTATGCAGATTTATATCAAAACTTACTTGACTGTGTCTTTCTGCTTGAGAACAGCAAGAGCAGTAGTCTGAAAGCTACTGCCTGAATTGCTCTAGAACAGCAAGAGTGGCAGTCTGAAAGCTACCCTGCTTGAACTGCTTTAGAACAGCAAGAGCAGCGGTCTGAAAGCTACCCTGCTTGAACCTAAGATTTATATAAATGTTAACATATAGTAATTGAGGTGGGCTTACTTACATGACTGCTGTCAACACATTGATGTTCACCAGAATTTATAACATTGTTCTGCTCTAGAACAGCAAGAGCAGTGGTCTGAAAGCTACCCTGCTTGAACCCAAGATTTACATGAGTGGTATGATAATTGAGGTGAGCTTGCTTACATAAGCACTGTTGACACATCAATGTTCACCGTGATGACTTTTGAATACTTCACTGAATTACTTAGTACATTGCCACACTACACTAATATAAGACTGAACTTCTACATTGTTCTAGCACCTCACAATGGCCTGCTGCATATCATGTGCACTGAGATGCATGCTACTACACATTGGTATGATTGTTTGAGTCTCTTTCTTCTCATCTTATCTATAGTACACATAATGTTTCTGGTATACAGGTGCCAGTATCTTGATCAAGAAATGCCTCACTACTTGCACATTCTTCACCTCCACTCCCTTTAACCAATAACATGTCAACCTCCAAAAAACCCCAAAGCTCAGCACTACCAACACAAGAGACTACTGATACTAATGCGGCCAGTTCAGACTTGGGTCAATTCATTGGGCAGCATTTCACACTTTCAAACATTGTGGCTATTCATTCCAGTTCATTCATGTTGGGTTACAGTAATGCAGAACAGCAGACTGCTGCTCATGCATTGCTCAGATACGACTCACATTTGGATGGTGCACATTATCATACAAGGACCCCTGCTGGACTTCACCCATCATATATTGCATTTAACAAGGCACTAACATCTCCTGACCAAAGAATGATTACACATGAGGAGTTTGTGGAGACTGTGCTCCAAGACATTTTTGATGCAATAAGTTTGTTTCCTTACTTTAGTTTACTGTTTCTTAAGGACATATTCTAGGTTTCCATGCAAGACCATCTAGATGGTGGAATATCATTTCTCATTTGCTGCCCTAGATCTAATGCTACAAGCACTATGTCAGCTGAACATGTTGCTGTGGATCTCTATGTTACACCCTGTGAGCTTCACTAGATCCATGAACAAATTAGAGAAGATGTGTCAGTGCTAGTGCAAGCTTTTTGTGAGGAGTTCACAATACCCCACCTTCAATGCTTACAGAGCACTGCCATATTGAGGGCGTTCAAACTCCTCATTGCTGTTAGTTTGCATTCCAAAAATTTTACCTGATTGTGCTAATTTCATTCATACATAGATCTAGCTGCTCAAGTGAACCCAACTGGGTCTCAAGTCTTACCAGCCCCCCTTGTTCCCACTGGCTCACACATTCAATATTCTGCCCGCCCTCCGAAAGGTTTCACTCACAACTTCAAGACTCACTCCACCACCAAGTTGAAGAATTGCTCCAGCTCTTACCAGCAGTTTGTGGCTGTTCAACATGCCAGAGCGCTTGCTTTGGGTATTTCTACTGTGCCCGATGGAAGTTCAAAAGTCCACAAGTGTTAAAATGCTGATCTTTTCTCGCTTCTGAAGAACCTTCAAGATACTACTTGTGATGGGCCAATAGAGCAGAGCTTGGGGTTCACATACCCTGACCTCCCTCGTAAATATGCTTTTGATGGCTCACCAATAATTAGCATCAGCCCACACACAGATGTAGTGCTTGATCACTTCAAAATGAGCAATGAGGTGATTCTGAAGCTTTGTGTGCTAACCTCAACTGTATGCAGCAGCCATTGAGAAGCTGTTCTTAGGTCTCAGGAGGCCTTTACTTTTAAGCAAGCTGCCAATCTTGTGAAGGCACTCAATGCTGATCTACAGTTGCAGAAATTGGACATGAACCCCAAGGTACGAGGTCCTTTTATAAAGTACACTCCACATGGTTCACTTACTGAATAATTCATCAGCCAGCATCAATCTTGAACAAAATTTTACAGTGGCTCATGATTGTAGTTTGCCTGTGTGCACTTTACTTCTTTGGTCTTTTATTTGTCTAGTAATCTCTCGGCCCTGACATTTTGTTTGGCCAATGTAGGTCATTAGTGTACAATGTTTGTTTCAAAATCTATATAAACGAACCCCCAAACTAATCCAAAATATCAGGCCATGAGTTCTCAATTATTTCTTACATTGACCAGTGGCAAATCATGGGTCCAAACTTTAACACCTCGCTGTCTGAAGGTCCGCCTGAGCAAGGAAGTGTGAGCTCTACTTACTGCCTCACATTGCAAAAATACCAATGTTTCAATGCTGCTATCAACAATGTTTGGGCTAGCATCGACGAGTCTGTTAAAACAACCATGACCTCTTACCACAAGAGGATCCATTGAGTACAGCACAAATTATACATGGGTCAAAGCCTTTTGTGGTCCAAGTGCTTTGGACACCTTCTGCTGGAAAAAGAATCAAAGTGTTGACAAGGAAAACAGTAAGGTTTTTTCAGTAGTTCAGTCTATTCTTATTGACAAACATTTTTCAAGGGCCTTCTGGCAAGGCTGTACTATCAGAGCTCATCAACGAGCATTGCATAGAGTATCACACACTTTCTAAGGATGAAAAGACTCCCTTCTAAAGGAGTATGGGGAACACAAGGCTACAAAGACCAATCGAGCTTATATATCCACAAAGTCGAAGATCAATGATGTTACTCAAACAATCAAGGCCATTGAGAATGAGATGTGTATTTTATTCCATTTTTGATAACATTAACTAACAGATTCATGCAGTCAAATAGCTTAAGGTGTCAGACAGGCACAGAGACGATACTTTACACAATGCATAGTTCAACTGACCTCTCACTTTGTGGAATTACCTTTGCAATGGAGGGTGTTGATAATTTCATGGAGTCTGTGATGAATGTTGACAACCAAGAGTTCGTCAGCAAGATG